TGGATGTGGCACTCAGGATCGGCCACAGGCGGGACTCGATGATCTCTAAAGTCTTTTCTGACCTCAGTGATTCCATGATTCTGTGACCCCTCAGCTTTAGAAAGTGAAAGGAGAGTGAGCCCTATAGCACTGAGTTTCAGTAGTTTTTATTTCTAGCATCCATACACRCCTCAGGTGAGTGATCTCCTGCCATGACTTAGAGCACACCACATGACCATGCATGAGGAGGGYGTTTGTATTTTATAAATTATTTCTTCCAGCCTCCACCAGGCCTCAGCAGACACATCACTGCTAGGTATGGAATTCTAATCAGCAAAGTTACAGGCAAGGTCTTCTTGTTGACACTGAAGCTATTTTTCTGGTCTATTCCTGSGTGTGGCAGCTCCTTGGTAGGAACAACACAGCTGTCTCACCACCATCCTCAGGACTTAGTTCTTCTGGTAGTAGAACCATTTGTCAACTGCATGGGGCAGAAAAAAAGAGAGGGTTAGTCCTCTGTGAGCCACCAAGTTATTAAGCAGTTACATGGCACCGTGTGTGTGACCTCCAGCTCAGGGGCTTCCTCTGCTTCTGGCAACAGCTCCACAGCACAGCAAACAGGTTCTGGCACAGCCCTGTTTACATGGATCTGTTTTCCCAAAGAAGCCACCCTCGCTCGGGCTGCCAGGAGGGGCATCCATAGCTTGGTGCAGGCAAGGAGAGCAAGTCAAGCTTCTCTCTGACTCGGGGAGGCAAAGCCATTTGACCTCCAGCCCCAACATACATTTCTCCACAGGTTTATTCCCCACAAAGGGATTGGAAGCAGCAGCCTGGCTCCTCTTTCTGCTCCCAGCACCMCCCTCAGCCTGCCCAGGCTACAGCAACCTCCAGGTTCAGTTCAGACCCTCATTTTCATGTTGACAATTCCTCTGAGGAAGYCCCTGCCCTGCACTGGGAGTTCAGGCTGGGTGTTGACACTCACCTTCGGGTGGGATGGGCTTGGCAGCTTCACACGGTGGCGCCTGAAAGAGAAGGGCATTATCAGAGACCAGAGGTGTCCTTACACCCTCCACACATCACTTAGGACTGCACAAGTCTCCTGAGCACCATTTACCATCTGGTCAGCTGTGGGGGTGTAACTGAGCTCATGTAACAGAGCTCCTGTCACTCCTGTCACTGCCTCATTCCAGAGATGCCCAATGTACCTGAGGTGCTCTGCTCCAAGTGCAGGCTCCCGGGCCATCTGCTGCCCAGCACAAGCAGCTCCACTCCAGAGTCTGCACAGGTGCAGGCAGCTGCATTTTTTTAAAAATCTACAGCGTTGGTTTGAAAAATATATGGGAATAGAGGCTCAAAGGACTCTCAGAGAACTCCTCCAAAGAGCTTTGCCTCGTATTTAACAACCAAAGACAGATGTGACTGGTGACACATCCTCCATGAAGGCTGTGCTTTCAAAAACCTACTTGAGATCCCTCATTCTGTGCTTTCAAAAACCTACTTGAGATCCCTCATTCTGT